AACTCAGCTACTGAAAACCCTGTGAAGCACAATTCTACTCTTGCATGCATGGGTGTCACCTTCTCCACAGCAATCAGGGACTGGAAAAGAAATCACCATGCTCTCCCTCTGAGCAGTGATGGTAGTATGCCCGTCTCCTCGGGAGCAAGCCTTGAGGGGTACCTCATATCTCTGCTGTGGGTGCTCCACAGTATCTGACTGAGTGGGATCGGATCCATGATGTGGGCATCAGGCCTCCTCCATCGCACCTCTGGACTCCCATGGAGTTCCGGCCCCTACTAAGTCATTTAGCTGAACAGCTACTGACCTGGCATGTGTAATGCTAGATTAGCAGTCCTCAGCAGGAAATCATGTGGCTAAAGGCTCATGTGGCTTGAGAAAGACACTGCTGACAATGCACTGCCTAGCAGCTAGGTTCTAACACTTCCCTGAGTGACCACTGAGTGCCCCACCATCTGGTTCCTTAACAGTTTGACAGAGTTAAGAGCTCTTTGGATGGTTAGGGCTTTTGACAAGAAGTGTTGTATTATCAGAGAATGCTGTGGACAGGGAAAAAGCAGCCTGGGTGCTAGGCTATTCAAAGCACTGCCAGTGTAGTGGACTTTGATCAAGCAGGTTGGCAGGTAGCTGCAGGGATGGCGTCTGACTCTTCATCCTCAGCAGGTGACTGCTCACAGGTTTCCTTTAAGTCTTCATTATTGAGGCAGAAAACCACAAGGGCATTAAATAAGGTGATTAACTGAAGACTTCAAAAGTGGCCCCCAGAAGACTTAAAAAGGTATGGTACATTCAAACACCTTAGAGAGAAGAAAAAACAGTAAAGAAGAAAGAGGACTCATGACGAGGGTGAAAATGATGGGTGAGCTCTTCTATGCATGAAAAATTGTAATGCAAACGCAGGTCATTAACGTGTCTAGGGACACGTTTGTTGCCCCAAGAATACTGATCAAGCATGGTTTAATTTGGCAGCATCCACAGCTGGAGGAAAAGAAAAGCTGTAAGGATTCCCAAAGGTAAGTGGTTACGCATTCAGCTGCTAATTGAAAGGTCAGTGGTTTGAACCCACCAGCCATTCCGTGGGACAAAGATGTGGCAATCTGTTTCCATAAAGATTATTGTTGTATTGTTGTTATTAGATACCGCTGCGTTGGTCCTGCATCACACTCACAATTGTTGCCATATTTCAGCCCACCATGTTAACAGGTGCAGCTACTGTGTCAATCTGCCTTGTTGGAGGTTTTCCTTTTTCCCCCCACCATTAAGATTACAGCCTTGGAAACCTACAGGGCAGTTCTATGTTGTCCTAGAGGGTCGCTAACAAAAGTAGAATCGACTTGACTGTTGTCGTTGTTTAATGCCATTGAGTCGGTTCCGACCCATAGCAACCCTGTATAGGGTTTCCAAGGAGCAGCTGGTGAGCTTGAACCGCCAACCTTGCAGTTCAAACGACTTTGCAGTCTGACGCATTAACCCACAGCGCCACACCAGGACTCCAGAATCGACTTGATAGACTTGGACTTTTTAAGACTAAACCAATGGTTGATGAGTCGAGTTCTGGATGTGTCACAGTAGAACTGTGATCCGTAGGGTTTTTAATGGCTGTTTCAGAAGGAGATCACCAGGCCTCATGACTGTTGTAAAACGCCGCTGAGTCGGTTCCAATTCATAGCGACCCTGTACAGGGTTTTGGAGGCGCGGCTGGTGAGTTTAAACTGATGACCTTGTGGTTAGCAGTTCAGTGCTGCTCTTACAGAGCCACACCAGGACCCCAATGGGTAGTAACTACGGGTGGACTCAAACCACTAAGCTTTCAGTTATCAGCTGAGCACATGAAATACTGGCAGCATCCACAGATGGTAAAATCCTTGCTTGCCCTGTGGGACTTCCACCCTACCCACTGTAGCGCCTGTGTGCCGTCACAGTGCAGACTCGCATGTCAGATGATGTTGAACAGGTTTTATGGAGCTTCCAGACTAAGACAGACTAGAAGGCAAGGCCTGGCTCTCTACTTCCAAAAATCAGCCAGTGAAAACCCTGTGGGTCCATAATCAGTCAGGGAGATGATGCAGGACTGGGCGGCAGCAGTCGATTGCACTGTACAAGGGCCAGCAAGCACAGGGCGCTGTTCAGACTTCTCTGACGTTTCAGGTAGTGCTTCCTGACACTGGAAACCTGGTCTGGTGGAAATGGGCATGGGCTACCAGTGACACAACTCATCTCTTTAAAAACTATCCCCATCACCAGTCCTCCCAGTTTCCTACCAACACCATAATTATGGAGTGCCGTTTCAGGAGCCAGCTGGGCTTAACAACAAGCCTGGCTTTCATCTGGGAAAGAGTCTACAGGTCATCTCATTCTAGAATTCTCCTTTCTCCACTTCCTGTGCTAATTTCCCTCTTTCTCCTCTGCCGATTTATGACCTTGTCTCTTCACTCTTATTTCTTTCAAAATCCCACTGGAAAGTCACCTCTGCTGTGAAGCCTTGTCATTTATCTTCACCCCTAGAGATCTCTTACCAGTTCTTTCACTTAAGAAATATTTGCCACTGAGCCCATTCCGACTCACAGCAGCTCCAGGCACAATGTGGAAAACTGAGCTCAGTTCTGCATGCTCTTCACGAGCATAGGAATGAATGCTCAAGTCTGCCATGTGGGTGCTGTGCTGGTCCAACATACCAAAGGTCTCCCTAACCTTCGCTGGCCCTTCATCAAGTATGATGTCCTCCTCCAGTGAACAATCCCTCCTGAGGACGGGTCCAAAGCAAACAAGTTGGACGATGTTCTTTCTGTTGTGATCCATAAAGTTGTTGGCGCATTTTTGGAAATAGATTGCCAGGCCTTTCTTCCCAGTCTTTCTAAGTCTAGGAGCGCTGATGAAACCTCTCCACCAGGGGTGACCCTACTGGTATGAGAAACACTGGTAGCTTCTAGTACTGGCAACATTCAAGCCACCAAAATAGGAAAAACTGGTATGTGTGGTAGTGATCCCCCAGTTAAGGTAACTTTATTGATTAAAACACATTAATAGATGCAAAAGAATTTTTGGAACCATAGAGGGCTAACTCCAGATAGAAAGAAGTAAAGCGAGTTCCCCTCAGCGCTCATGTACCCAGTGCTGACGATCATTTCCTCTATCAGTCTACGTTTTATCCTTTTCAGTTAGACTCTTATTAACAGTGTGATTCACAGGCCAATAGCATGGGCCTCCAATGGAAGCGTGTGGGAAATGTAAACTTTCAAGTCTGGCCTGATTGCGAATCTGCATTAAAACACGAGCTGCAGATATTCTCATCTGTTAAAATTTGAGAAGCACAGAATTCAGCTTCAAAGGCCATCAGGGAACAGCCAGCGCAGGGTCTCTGGAAAGCCCTTGAGGACCAAGGAGAGGGCTCATGTCATATGGGTACTCTGGAACTAACAGCACATAGCAGCTGGCCTGCTCGCGATAAATCTGACAGCTTGCCCGCATCTAGTCTCTGTTTATCCGATACTCACACAAGCAGACCTGACTTGGAATTTCTTCCCAGAAAACATTTTAAACCCACATTTGCATAAAAAACACAGAAGGGCTGGTTGGGGAGAAGTCATTACTGGGCAGAGTGCCGAGTTCTGGGGAGCTGGGGGAGAGTCGGTGAATTGTGTCCTCTTTCTGGAGCACAAAGGGCCTCCCTCGCCTCAGAGTAAATCACCAAGACTCCCCAGATTTCACAGTTCCTGCCTTCTCGCTCTAGTGGCACACACCCTTGCACATTAAACGATGCTCAGAAGCCACAGGTAGGGGAAAACAGCTAACTCTGGGGCCCCCACGGTTCACACTGAGAAGAGTTCTCTGAAACCCGCAGCAATGTCTTTCTCCCTGAGACATTATGCCCAGGCTTCCTGCACACAAGCAGATTAACTGAAGACTCAGGTTTCCCCAGCACATGACCCCTTCATGATGGTTAGCAAAGTCCCTTCCAAAAAGGCCAGGCCGAGGCCAATCATGCTGAAATACAGGGAGTGATTTAGTCTGTCAAAGGTACCTCTTAAAAACCATTTGAGAATGAGGCAAAGGTACCCACCTCCAACAAGAGAAGTAGATTCGCAGAGATGAAAAGTTAGAGCTAGGTTGAAACCCCAGTCCCAGTTAGGTGACCTTGTGCTAATCTCTGAGCCTCAGTGATTCCATATTTAAAATGGGGATAATCCCAGCATGGTGGTTGTGAAGAAAACTGAGAGAACATATACAGCTCTAAGAATCTGAGGGTAAGTCAAAAAAGTATTGCTATAAAATCATAGAAACCATTATGAAATAAAACCCATCAAAACGTCAAGTTATTGATTCTCACCATCTAGGTCTCTTCACTTTAGAAGGCAGTACTTCCATCTCGCTAACCCTTCCCTGAAGAATTCTACACTCCTCCATTTAGAGCACATCAAGACAGCAGTTTTGGCCTCCTCAAAAGGGACTCAAATTGGGGTAAGATCAAGGCTGTAGGGTAGATGGGATACGGTTTCCCACCTAAATTGTCTTAAGACAGTGGGTGCATTGTTGTGATGGAAATATTTCCTCCATGCAACTCTCCAGACCTTTTCTCACCAGGTTAGTTTTCATAAACTTCTTTATAATAAGCCCTACAATCATGCTGTATCCTTCAAGAAAATCTATCCATAGTACCCTTCTGGTGTTCCCCAAGACAACAGTCCCAGAACCTATTACACTGACTTCTCTGCCTTGAATTTAACTGGCTCAGCAGATCCCCTCAGAAGCCACTGTATTGACGGGACCTTTGTTTTGAAGGCACCTTAACAAGACGATTGTTTTACTGAGAGCTTGTCTGGTACCATCCACATCTTTAAACATGCCTTGTTTGGAACTCTGGGAGCACTGCTTTTAGACTTACTGTAACGAGTAAGTCAGGTAATGAGTCCAAGATAAGGGCTTAATAAACATCCGATGCTGTTTTTCTGCTGGGTAACTTCCCCATCCCCAGCCTGCCTCCCAGAAGCCTCCCCACTGACCTTGATCATTTCCGCCACATAGCTCTCAGGCCCCGTGTACTCTGTGGAATCCTTCACTTTCACCAGGACGATGAAGCACAGGTAGTGCCACATGTTATGTTCCTCCTTGATATGCTCTTCAAAAGTGACTGTCTTGTTGTCAAACTTGTCTCTCTCCAAGCCTAAAAAGAGACAGAGAGTCCCCCCGACCCCAACTTAGCCACCATAACGAAGACAGCTGAGACAGAGAAGGTGGTATTTCAGTCCTGTTCTAAAGGGGCGGGGGGTTCTGTAGGCCTCATAAATGGACACCTTCTTATATGATGGTAGGAGAACATGGGCTGTGAGTCAACCAGAGAGGGTTTGAATCTCACCTGTTACACTGAACGTTTGTTTTTTCACTCTCTCTGTGCCTGAACTGCCTTGTGAGGGAGTGGGATGACTATCAATGGCGTGACAGGGGATGTGCGTGAAGCGCTCATGTCTACTAGGCACCCTGGCAGTGTAAGGCCCCTTTTCCAGGCAAGTGCCAACATGCAGACATGTTAAAAGCTTTTAAGAAGGAAGAATAATGATGGAAAGAACTTGAAAACCAGTACTGAATTCTAGTTGGTAGGTTTCTATTTTGCATAAGTTAGGTAAACTGTTCTGAAACTAGGATTGAGCAAATAAACTTAGTGTGGGTAACAGGACTCTGAGTTGTTAAGGTCAAAGAAGGGAGTTATAAATAAGCAGAGGGAGAAAGACTAAGTACTATAACGCTGAAATGGAATAGGAAGTGTCAGTGTGGACTTAAGCTTTTTCAAACAGTCAGTAACACAGATACAGAGAGTAGATGTTTGTATGTATAGATACGAACACTTATGTACGTACATGTATCTCCTAGATCTGTGACTAATAAGCCATGGGAGCAGCAGCACACCCACAGAATGAGCCCCCCTAGCCTCCCAGATTACAGTTTCCAAATGCCATTTGTAACGGAAAGTATAGGCTCTTTGGAAAAATAGCTGATTGAAGGAATTTGTACTAAACAAGTTAGAAAGTACAGAGAGAATGATGAGGACGTGGCAAGACAACGCAGAAGCCAGCTTGAAAGGATTGCCACTCGTCAAAGCTAGGGCAAATGGAGTATCAAAATAAATAACCATAGTAAAGGGTTATACCCACTGAGTTTATGCTGTTATGAATACTATACACAAACATACACAGATACATGAGATGGGGAGAAAAATTTATTTCTTAACAGTAATAAAAAAAAACACACCAACAAACAAATGTAGAAAGAATAATGAAAAAAGAAAATATTTGACAACCATTATCTTAATAAATTCAGGCTAGAATCATCAATGGATGCTAAAATTAATGGGTGAAAGTTTGAGAAGTAACAAGATCGCTAACAAAATCTCAAAGTATCTTCCATAAGATATTAGAGGAAAAGAGTAAACTTTACTGTGGGGGAACCTGGCAGTCAACACCTCCATCAAGGTGATCAGCGGTGCTATCACTAGGTGACATCCTGTACCTCCTGATGGGAAGCAACGAGAAGAAGACAACATTATGCCTGAAAACAGGCATCGCCTTACTCTTGCCATGAAAAGACAACAGGCAAACTGAAATCACAGCACATTTTGCAAAAAAAAAACAAAAAAAAAAGGCCTATTTTTCAGAAATGTCCAAAGAGGCATGCCAACTGAATGTAACAGTGACCTGGGATTTTTATTTCCTATAAAGGAGTCCTGGCATGGTAGCATAGGATAAGCACTCGACTGCAAGATTCACTTGAATCTCAACGTTGGCTGTTCAAACTTACCAGCTGCTCCTGGGAAATCCTATACAGGGTTGCTATGAGTCAGAACTGACTCAATGGCACTTAACAACAAATAAAGGAAATCAGGATAAGCACTGGCCTGCTAGCCACAAGGTCGGCATCCCTATACAAGCCTCAGAAACTCTATGCAGGGTTGCTACAAGTCAGAACTGACGACATGGAACCAAACAACACACACAGGACATTACTGGGAAAGAAGGTAGAATCTGAGTAAGATCCATGTTGTATTGTATCAATATTTATTTCCAGAGTTTGATCATTGTATTGCTGATACAGGAGACAATCACATTACTTTTAGAAAATATATATTGGAATATTTAGGATAAAGGGGCATTGTACCAGCTGCTTACTCTCAAACTTCGGAGGAAAATAAAGCATGTGTGTGTAAAAAAATACAGCAAATGTGGTAAAATATTAATATTTGTGGAATCTGGGTGAAAGACACATAGAACTTCCTTGCACTATTCTTACAACTTTTCTATAAATAACATTATGCTAAAACAAAAACATTTCTTAACGTTTCAAAGGGAAAGAAAGGAATGAATTTAAGTTGTTAAGTGAAAAAAATGTTAATTTGGGGGGTATACATAGCAGTAGGAAATTCATATATTTCTGTAATTATACAGTGAATAATTACTGGTTACGAATTGGGCTGCGAACCTCAGGGTCAGCAGTTTGAAACTACCAGCTGTTCCTCAGGAGAAAGATGAGGCTTTCTGCTCCTGTAAAGATTTTCAGCCTCGGAAACCCTGTACAGGGTCGCTATGAGTCAGATCAACTTGAGGACCCTTAACAACAACATGGCTAGTAAGTGGCTGCAGCTTACACAGAATCCAAGTCTGACTCCCAATCCAAATTCTGTATTCTTGCCACTTGCAGTGTACTACTTCACAGCTATCTACCCATAGTCTTTGTAATTCCCACTAAATAACTTTCTCTGTTGGGTCTGGGTAAGAGAAGGCAGGCAAAGATGCTGATAGGATGATATGATTCGGTTTTGAACCATTATTAACAGAGTTAAGTGTGACTGTAAAAATGCAGAACTCTAACATGGGTCTATAACGAGCCATCGCAGAAGCAGGAGTGGGGGCTCCACTATGGTCAAAGAAGAAGAGCCAGGAGTGGTATGTGTCTTGTGGACCCTAAGATCCTGCACATGAAACCTTCTGAAGAGGAGGAGCCACAGAGAAGCAGCAGAACCAAGAGCCAGAGCATGAGACAGAGCGATGGGCTTCCCAGTCCAGGAACAAGTGAAGCTGAGTGATTGTGGGCACCAGGCTTGCTTGCAGAGTACAGTGCCTCTGGGTACTTAATTGGGGGAGTTAAGGTTTCTGACCTATGAAGCTACAGGCAAGTGTCTTCCGGCAGAGGCTTCTGGTGGAGTGGTGTGCCCTGTGGACTTTATCAGCAACCCTAAAAGAGTTTTATAACCTGGCTGGAGCAGAGGCCAGGCCAAGGGACTGAGGGCCAGAGAGAGACCGTAGAGGAGACACTCTCTTGACTGAAAGGACTATGCCATGAACATTTCGGACCCTGAATTGTAACCTGTTAATATTCCTAGGTAAACAATTCAAGTCTGCTGCCTGAGTTCTATGTGAGCATTATAATGAATTTTATGGAAGCCAGTAGAGTAGAGAGAGTGCTGGGCAAGGAATGATTGGGCTCATTTTTTGCAACTATATACCTTACAAAGATTTTTTTTTTTTTCCACTTCAAACATGATTCTGTTTTCAAGAAAATATATCCCGCCTCCCATCCCCATTCCCTAAACAGGTTGGAGTTGAATGCACCTGTCTTGAATGGAATTATTTTTCGGCTGGGGGAAACTTCACCATTAGCAGTTTACTTGAATGGGACCAGGGCAGATTGGGCAGCCAGCAACAAAAATACATGCATTCACTTTAAATAATGTGTGATCACAATCTGCTCCCCGAAACTTCATGCCTAAAAAAACCTGGTGAGTGCTACACGGACTCTGGCAGCTCTCCGTATACTTCCCAGCAAAATAAAGGCAAAGGAGAGGCCCACTCAGCTCTGTGGACAGAGATGTTCCAGAATGCACGCAGTGCCCCTCCCACAGAAGCCCCAGGCTCTGGCACGTGCTCCGTTCCATGCGCCCTTCGCCTATGGCATGAAGCCTGGGATTTCTTGCTGAAGCTAGACAGCATTACTTACCACAGATAAAGCATGTGGTCTTTAAGATTTCTTCCTTCTTCTGTTTTTCACTCCTCAGGTCTGCAAAGGTGTCGATGATGACTCCAAAAATCAGATTCAGGACGATAATGATGACCATGAAGAAGAACAGGAGGTCATAAATCACTCTAGCTGCAAAGAGGGGTTCCTGAAAAAGAAACGCATCTCAGCCATTCCAGTCGTCTTGCTACCCAAGGTGTGCAGAGCTCAGTAGTGAAGGGACCCACTCAGTCACGCATCTCCACGCTTCCATCAAACTCACAGCTGCCAGCAAATCATCAGTCTGTTTCTGCTGAAGTTAAACTGAGGGTCAAATTTGAAATCCCACAGCTGCCTCACTTTTTGTTAACTATTTCTAAATCTTAAGTCCTACAAGGTCTATGTTGACATGTGTAGGAAGTAGTTTCCTGGGATCGAACCAGCTGTTGTGGAGTTGATTCAGACTCATGATGGCCCCACTTGTATTAGGGGAGAACCGTGCTATCTAAGGTTTCCAACAGCTCTGTTTCCCCAAGCAGAATGCCAGGGTTTGCTTTTCCAAGGTATTTCTCAAACCTCCGACCTTTCAGTTAACCGCGGAGCAGGGTGACCATGTGCATTACCAGGGCCTTCCCCCTTCCTGGGATCTAAGATGTTCGGAAATTATATACAAGTTGGCCAGACCCAAGCCTGAAGGAAACAATCATTTGTCTGTACTGAATGGAAAACTGAAGCGGTCCCTTCCTCCACAGCTGACTTCACTGCACTGCATATATTAGCACCGTTCTGCACATCTACTCATGACTATGCCCAGCTCTTCCTTCGCTTCTTCAGTTACACTTAATCCCACTGCTTTGTGCACCCACCGGCTCTGCTCTTCCTGCCCCTCAGGATTCATTTACCTCTTTGGACGGCTTCCTGAGCACATCTCCCACTCCGCCCCCGCTTCGTAGCCCGTGACTCAGAACGGTAACAATGCACATCAGCAACGTCTCACAAGTGTGTTCCTTATCTTGTTCCAGTTCTTCTGCGGGGACCAGCTCTAGGCACACAGCAAGAAAAACCACGAGGAAAAAGAGAAATCCATGTTTTGATGCTACCTTTCCTGAATGCCAGTTCCCCAGCAGACAGCAGCAAGAAAAAATACATTTAAACAATTGAGAGGTCTGCAGTGATTTTTTTTTTTTTTGGTCATTAAAACCAGTTGTCTTGGATTCAACTTGACTGCTGGGGACTCATCCATGTGTGTCCGAGTAAAACTGACTTCCATAGAGTTATTAGTGAATGATTTTCTGAAAGTAGACTTGCCAGACCTTTCTTCTAAGGTACCCCTGGGTCGACTTAAATGTTTTTTAGTTAGCAGCTGAATGCATCAGCTGGTTGCACATAGGGACTCCCCATTTCCTGTATCCCATGCTTCCTGTATTCTTAGCATTTAGTATACTCTCTGGTAATCACCTGCCTCCTCTACTACAAATCACTGTGTTATGGACATCTGATTTACAGCCAACTCCTACTTGCCCTTTAAAATTACTATATCTATTTGCCCTCAGTTCAAAAAGATTGAATTAACCCTAGTTGCAACAAAGTATTCACAATCATTTTAACTGGCTGCATGTGCAACTTTTAAATCATGGGGAAAGTTCCAAGCCTTTTTTGTACTAACTCCAAACCCATCTGCCACTGCCAGTTACTTGATTCCAGCTCCTTAGAGTTTCTGAGACTCTAAATCTTTACAGAAGCACACAGCATCATCTTTCTCCCAAGGAGTGGTTAGTGGGTTTGAACTGCTGACCTTGCAGTTAGCAGCCCAACATGTAATCCGCACTGTCACCAGGACTCCTATCTTGCACTACCTACTACCCCACAGACAGACTGCTGTCAAGTCTAATCCTGACTCTCAGTTATCCTGTAAAGGGTTACAAGGTTTAAGTCTTTATGGGAGCAGAAAGCCTCATGTTTCTCCCATGGAGTAGGTGAAGGGTTCGAACTGCAGATCTTACAGTCCAGTGCTTATTCTACAGCGCCACAAGAACTGTATGCACCTGTTCTAACGTACCTACAAACTGGACTTAGAGACACATGTAGAAACAAATCTGGATTTCATTCTTAACCGGGGACTACCCACACCACACAACCCCCAGCAGAGAGCAAACACGAGAATACTCGTTCAATCTATTCAGCCAATATATTTTTCATATGCAGCTCTCTTCCTCCTCCCTCTTATCTCCCAGCCTCCCCCGTTTGCTACTGGCTTTACTTCTGAACAGAGACTTTGCTTTAATCTGCTTCCAACATCATCTGCATCATTGGAACCTCTGAAGGAGTCTGACATGAACGTGGGGCTTCAGGCTACCTGGTCCTACCTTCTTTGGGGGCAGGAGAGGAACAGTTCTCCCCTGATTCCACCCGGCACACATCTGAGTACAGGAACTCGCCTGCCAAGCTCTCACCAGCTTCTGAGAGAGAGATGGAAATTTTATGATGAATAATCTGGCAGCATATGGTTAAAATGTTTGAAGTCACCAATTCACGGCTGATTAAACAATTCTGTACATAAGTAACACCCTACAATCTTGCATATAAATTCCAAGCCGAGAGCAATTTACACTTTCATTTGGTGATCGGGATGGGAAAGAAGCCAAAAAAGTCAATTTCTGTAGACTTACTAGAAACATCGCACTTAAGTAGCACCTCTCCAACTTTAAAGACACACAGCTGAAACTCTTCGACAAATACTATGGAATGTACATACTCCAGCAAGATTTATACCAAGTCTGCATAGGAATCATCAGCCAGCATTAGTGGAAATTCAAGGTCCAAACTGGTATAGGTCAGGACCTTAAGACAGTGGGCAGATAATGCCATTTAGCATCAGCTTGGGGGCTGGAGTTAAAAGTTTCAAGAACACAGCATCTGGGAGAAAGAAAACAAAGACTGCCTGGCTCAGTGAATCATAATAACGCCCGTTCATTCCTGGGACTTGAGGGGCCTGGTTACCTGATGAAAAACCAGTAATATTTTACTAAGAAGGGCCAAATATTTTAATTGAGGGAAAAAGAACACTTGGGTATCACTCATTAAAGTGATTTTTTTTTCATTTTCACAATTGGAAAGTGCTTCTGTTCTTGCTATATATAAAAATAATAGAATCAGACTGTAAAACTTGTACAAAGTAAAATATAAACAAACCAACCCAGAGATGGTCAGTGCGGGTAGCTTGGGGATATGTTTGTCCATATTTTAAGACATACAATAAAGAGTACTGAGTTTCTGTTTAGTGTACATATATTTAAAAAAAAAAACACACAACAAAACAACTTTTTGGAAATACAGTTGTTAATGATATATACATCATATCAATACAACTAACATCACAGAATGAATCACTCAAAATTAGTTACAATGACAAATGAGGAGAGCTTCAAAAAGTTGATGGGAAATTGGAAAGAAAAGATAATGTATATATTTTACCATAATAAAATTATATAAGGACATGAGAACTTTTAAATGGGAAAAATATGTACATTTGAGCTTATAAAAGCTACTCTTCTGCTGTTTCCCACTATCTATTTTTGCTATTTTTTAACCTATGAAAAGACATAAAGATATATCCTATTTGCAGAGTACTCTACCCTGTGGATGCACCTTAAGCAAGTTTCTACCAAGGGTCATTTGGCTATTTATAACATCATTCATGGGCCATACAAAATTATCAGCTAAAAAATTAGCCTACTATATTTGGTCAAACACTTAATTAACTCAACCGTAACGGGATGGCTAAGGAGCTCTGGTAGCACAGTGTTACCAATTGGGCTGCGGACCACAAGGTCAGCAGCTCGAAACTACCAGCTGTTCCACAGGAGAAAGATGAGGCTTTCCACTCCTATAAAGATTAACAGCCTCAGAAACCCTGTACGAGGTCGCTATGAGTCGGAACCGACTCCACGGCACACAACAACAACAACAGAACAGTCCACAAGCAGAACATTCCTCACCCCTGACCTAGAACAACAAGCCCTACTGCTGGGCATTCCCTTCCAACTTCACACTGCAGGGATCATGCTTCCACATGCATTTGTTTCTGCATGAACAGTTAGCAAGTTTCTCCCCTGAGAGTAAATTCTTAGAAGCAGGTTACTAAATAAGTAAGGCCAAGGGGATGCATACTTCTAAAGTTTTTAATGCATATTTGTCCAGCTGCCTTATGAAAAAGTTGTAATGGTTTAAAATATGACTTTGGTGAGAAAGTTATATATAAGATGTAAACAATTACCCTTAGCATCTGATTTACCACATCACCTTTGAAAAAAGCAAGAACGAAGTCCTGAATAAAAAACTCACTCTCCAGGTATTACAGAGATGAGCTACAATGCTAAAGTGGTCATTTTCTTTATGGAAATAGTCTTTTTTTTAATATTGCTTCCTTACTCACTTTTTAATGTGGTAGAAATATATTGAGGGGGTTTCCAAAGTTTGTGGAAAAAATTACATTCCCTTCTAATTCCATGAACTTTCTGAAGGCCCCTTGTATAGTAAGTATGCACCAAATCAACATTTGTTACGCATACAGTTCAGTAAGTAATGATGCCTTCGTGTATTGTGACACCTGTACTAGTCTTTACACCCAAATTATTCCCATTAACATAAATGCAGGGCCCCATAAGCAATGACTCCCCTTTCCCTACCATTTCTACCCGGATAGCTATGAATAGACTTAGGTCTCTAGACACTTACCTATTATAGATAACTCATGGAAGTGGGATCATATAATATGTATTCCTTTGGTACAGGCTCATTTCATTCAGCATGACGTTTACAAGATTCATCCATGTTTTTATGGCTGAGTGGTATTCCATTGTATGGAATGACCACATTTTGTTTATCTGCTCATCAGTGGATAAGCATTTAGATCACTTCTACTTTGGGGCTATTGTGAATTGTACTGCAGTGAACATTTGTGTATAAGCTTCTGTTTGCAAGGAAGTATTCCTTCTACCTTAAATAAAATCAGAAGATCTCAAGCTTACCTGGGAGAGCTGTTTCATTGGGTAACCTATCTACTTCCAGGATAAAGTCATCCTTGAAGAAAAGATAGCCCACTATGGAGAAGAGGTAAACCAGGATCAGAGCCAGCACCGCTGTCAGGATGATGGACCGCCCATTACGAGTGACACTTTTAATGACATTAAGCAGAGTCTCTTCTCTGTACACTAAATCAAAAAGCTTTGGAAAGAAACAAAAGGAGGATGATAGGGTGATTGTAAGAAGACTGTTAGATTTATATCAATATTCCATAATACAAATGTGCTTTGTAGACCATTTACCCTCTTGGAAACACAAATAGATTATACTGTTGCTTTAACATTTCCCTTCTTGCCCATGTTAACAGTGAAAACTGAGATGGGGAAAAAAAGGAGGAAAAGTAAACCAAGAAGAGGAGGGCAGCAGATAATAGTAACTTCAAGTAGCAAACAAAGCAGTTCAAGGTCCTGCAAACAGAGAAAATAGAGGGTTGTGCCCACAAGTTTCAGAAGGAAAAGTGATGAAGGTCCGTGAACATATTCACTTAGGAAGTATTTATTAAGTGTCTACTGGGGCCAGACAGCAGACACAGCAATTTCTTCCTAGAACAAGGATACTAGTGGGGAAGGCAGGCATAAAACGGATTACTGCTAGGAGCAAGGAGTTTGGATTTAGACACAGGTTCAAGTCTTGACTCAGAAACATACTGCCCCTGAGATCTACAGTTAGGTACATTCCCCTTCCCCTGAGCTTCAGTTTCCTCATTTGCAGACTGGAGATCATAGAGTTACTATAAAGAATAAACATGCTTAGCATGTAGTTACAGATAGGTGCTGAGAAAGTGTACAACTGGTAATTATCACTAATTTCCTGATGAGGAGACTGAGTCAAGGCCACACCGCTAATATGTGGCAGGGGCATCCCTGGTGGTAAAGCAGCCTGGAGCCTGAACTGTAACCATCTCCATTTCCCCACACAGCTGGGGGAGAGAGATGAGGACCCTTGCATTACACAATGCCTCTAGCTTTAGGCTAACGGGCTTGCTCTTTGCATGAAGCAAGCTTCATGAGAAATCGAGGGTTCCGGCAGATGTAGGTAGTATGAGTGAGCTGATGGCTAGTTTCCCAAGAACTACTATCTCAGGTACTTGGTGGGAACTGCATGAAGCTACGGAGGGAACTCTATGGGGCTACTCTTAAATCACAAAACTAGATTTTAATGTTCGTCTGGTAGCGTAGTGGTTACTAATTGGGCTGCTAACCTCAAGATCGGCAGTTCGAAACTACCAGTCGTTCCATGGAAGAAAGATGAGACTTTCTGCTCCCGTAAAGATTTACAGCTTCGGAAACTCTGGGCAGGATCACTATGAGTCAGAAGCGACTTCACAGCACATAACAACAACAACAATCCTCTCCAGAAGGTTCTACCACCACCCATGGTTCGGTGGAAGCCTTGCCAAGCCTTAAATCCTGACTCTGCTTTGAATTTGGTGTCAGATTTCACTCAAGCTGTGTAGCCTCTCTGAAGCTTAGTTTGCTCATCTGTAAAGTAAGTAGACAGAACAAGCTGATCCCTAAGTCCCTGCCAATTTAAGATTTTATATCTGAGTTCATTTTCTGGCCAATTAACCTTTCTGTCTCCCTACCACCAATCTGTATCTTGAGACTAGTTTGGCAAAGGGTATGAAAGGGGTAAAGGACAACACTTAAAAGGCAGCAATAGAGAAGCATTCATTTTATCACTCTAGGACTGAAAAGACATAGTGCTGCTGTTGATAGGAGTTAAATGTTTTCCAGGAATTCCACACAAAGCGGTAAGAGCAACTCCACACAACAATCAAGTGACACTGGTGTTCTGTGATTAAGACCCACAGAGATCTAGACAACCCCCCATCACTCAAGTGCCCAGCGATAGCTTCATTTCACTCATTTGTATTTTTAAGTTTGAAAACAGTAACATTCATTATTTATGTAAAGGAAACACCTTCTTCTAATCAGAAAACTACATGTATTCAATGGACAAAACTGAAAACAATGGGGAAAAAGCACAAAAATTAAAAATCCCCAAGAATCCTATCAGCTATAGACAGCTATCTGTCTATAGGCATCATTGATGGACTCAGGGGTGGCAGCGGTGGTGAGGTTGGCCCAGGATCGAACATTGTTTCGTTCTGCTGTGCATGGAGTCGCTATGAGTCGGTTCCGACTCGATGGCACCTGACAACAACAACAACATAGACAGCTACTCTACCATTTATGGCTTTGAAAAGCATGTAATATATGCATACCTGTTATTACAAAAATATGATGCCATAATACTGGTAACCACCCACCAATTATGAACATTTTCATGTCAAAAGTGATCTCCAAGTTATTTCACTGTATAAAAAAATGTGATCTACTTAAGCAATTTTCTTTTGTAAACACTCAAGATGTTTTCAATTACATGTCATTACGAATAGTGTTGAGATGCACACCTCTGTATACACCTCTACAGACACGTCCACTCCTTTCTTTTAGGTGAACTTCCAGAAAGAAAATTGTTGGGTCAAACATTACAATAGAAGCATCCCCTTCCAAAAAAGTGGCATCGATTCTCACCAGGAGCAGAAATCTTTGCCCATTGTATGCCATTCTCACTAGTCCAAAGCAAGAAGGTGATTTTAACCTTTCCTAAGGGCACAGGTACAAGAAGCTCTGGTAGCATACTGGTTACAAATCAGGCTATGAACTGCAAGGTCAGCAGTTCGAAACTACCAGCTGCTCTGTGGGAGAAAGATGAGGCTTTCTGCTCTCGTAAAGATTTACAGCTTTGGAAACCCTGTTCAGGGTCGCTATGGGTCGGAACCGACTCAACAGCACTTAACAACAACAACATGGTCACAGGTAAAACACAGGGTGTAGTTTCTGTTCATTTAGTGATGAAGCATGTCTTGGATTAGTGGTAAAGATGAACACTCTTCCTTAACTTTACTGACCATCTGAATTTCTACTTTTGCTACCTACCTGTCTGCTTAGAAACATTGCACATTTTCACTTTGGGGGATTTGTATTTCCCATAAGGAGCTCTGGTAGTGTAGTGGTTACGAATCGGGCTGCGAACCTGAAGGTCAGCGGTTCGAAACTACCAGCTGCTCCGCGGGAGAAAGATGAGGCTTTCTACTCCCGTAAGGATTTACACCCTCGGAAACCCTGTACAGGGTCACTATGAGTCGGAACCGACTCGACGGCACTGAACAACAACAAGAAGGACACACTCAATACAGACAGACTTGACACAAGGCTCAGTGAGTTCGCAGGTACAGCAGCACTTTGGTTACACACCTTCGCTGTCAATGAGGCAGGGGCTTCCCCTGCTGAAGCAGTTGTTGTTGGTACCGTTAGTTCAGCCTCGCACTCTGGTCCACTCCTGCACCACCCCCACGAGACCACTTTCAGACCGCCCTCTTGTGCTTTTTACAATTGGATCACCAGGCTTTTCTTCCTCGTGTGACTTATTTAGTCTGTAAGCTCTGCTAAAACCTGTTCAACTTCCTAGCAACTCATAAGCCTCCAGTGACAGGTACATGGTGGTTGTGTTGAGAAGCACTGGCTGGGAATCAAACCCAGGTCTCCTGCATGGAAGGCAAAAATTCCACCACCGAGCCACTACTGCTCTGGTTCCTTACTGGATGATTCTCTCCTTCTATAGCCAGCCCATTTCCTTTTAGCTCCCAAGTTTTCCTTGTTTGTGGAAGAATTTGAGTGGTTTCATTATTTTCTCTGTGGTTCTCAACAGACATCTCAAATACTACTTTAGAAAAAAACCCCAAAAAACCACTACCACATCACTTGAGGTTAAAGGTAAGTCAAAATCCAGCCAGCTTGGAAAACTCCTGCACACGAGAGTCACACCTGGCCATCATCCAGTGTGACCTTGTGAAGTAGTTCTAAAACGGAACTGAAGTCAGATAAGATCATCAGAAGCTCTGAGTTTTTCTTATCTTTCTGTGATAGACAATAGATTTGAAAGCATGAATACAAGCTGCAACTCTAACTACCCTTTTCACTGCAGCTGGGACTTTTTCACAAGCTCAAATAAAAGGTGGTACAATCTCACACCTAAGAACTTGGGCTGGAAAGTCAACAGAGTTGAGTGGCTATCCTCTCTCTTACTTACTTGAGACCAAGGCAAGTTAAGGACTTTCACCAAGTTTTCGCCGCACCATCTATAAATGAGCTGTATCATCTACCTCAAAGGGGACTGTCAGACAGTATATGGAAGAGTGCATGGTGAAAACTCAAGGGATGGTCATACCTATTATTTCTGGAGTCCTTGGGTGGTACAAATCATTAACAAGCTCAGCTCTGCTAACAGAAAGGTTGGAGGTTTGAGTTCAGACAGAGGTGCCTCGGAAGATAAGCCGGAGACCCACTTCCCAACAATCAGCCATGGAGAACCTTCTGGAGCATATTTCTTGGATACACATGGGGTTGCCATGAGTCGGGGTGTCGTGATGCCAACTGGTTGTTATTATTTTCTAGACTGTGAGAACCATGGGAGGAGGGCTACTGTTTGTTATTTCATCATTACATTCTCTGCATCAAGCACTGCCATTGACAGGCATTATGAATGACAGAAAGAAGAGAAAGTAAAGTCAAATGGATAGAAATGGTAGGAAAGGTCCGGCTCTTAGCCAGGGTGAGACAGCATTGTCTGAAGAAGCAACTCCTACCCCTTGGAAGAAATCTCTCAAGAGGTATGAAAGAGATCAGTAATTGAACTTTGCCTGTTGGACTGGCCACTTCCAACTCACAGACAGCATTCTCCAGCCAACGACATTATTAAATAAGACAAAAAGACTCAAATATACATAGGGCTCTAAAGCTTTCTGATTCAGCAGGACCAAATTAAGTCACGTAAGTTATGTATGATTAACCACCAACTATATCCTCAATGTATAGTCAGACTTATTTTCTAATGAGGGAAAGAAATCCATTCCTCTTGGCCTGTTAGCTTCCACCACTAATGGAATGAGTTAGTCCTGATGGCAAATTCTTCATGGTGTTTAGGATGGGAAATGGAGTGTGGGCAGTAACAGCAGCTAGGCAACACGAGCACACATGGTGCGGTGGTGCTGTTCTCCACATGCACAATCACGTGTAATGCCTGTATCAGCCTTTGAGGGCCAACTATTGTGACCCTCAAGGAAACTAAGGCACAGATCAGTTAAGTAACCAGCTCAGAAACCACATGCATAGCACCTCTGAGAAGAATATTCCTTCCTCTACCTTTTGCAAGCAAGACTCCTTTTTGACTTGGTCATTCTCCATCTTCACCAACATTTTTATGTTTCTTACTCTGTTTCTGAATGGTTTTTGCTTACAGATCAGTCAACTCCATCAGTCTTGTCATTTGACTTAGGAGACGACTTATCTACAACTCTGCAAGGTCTAGACTCCCTCTCTCCCTCTCTCTGCAAGGTCTAGACTCCCTCTCTCCCTCTCTCCACAGCCAAGCAAGCAGGTCAGTCATTTAAAAGTAGGCTCAGTAGGAAGGAGACAAAACCAAATCATTGTTTAGACTCTTGAGACATTAACCACTTGGCTCATATGCTGACAAAATAACTTCCAATGAAAAGGTCTCCAGGATCTATCCATCGACTGAGCTGAGTATTATTTGCATCACAGGATTTTGAAAGTAACTCCCTAGCTGCTACTCTTATGGTTGTGAGAAATTCTCAAGATGGTCCATCTTCAGGAATAAAGAGCCCATGAGATTGCTAGACGAGACCTAGGTTGTTGAGTCACACCCAGGGATATGTAAGTAGGATGAATTGGGGGAAAGGGAGGATATAAATCTGTTGTAGGCTTGTCATTAAGTGCCGTTGAGTCAAATACGACCCACAGTGACCATGTACAGGGTTTCCAAGGAGCAGCTGGTGAGCTTGAACCACTGACCTTGCAGTTCAGAGTTTGCAGTCTGATGCATTACGTTCTACGACTCGGAATTTTACATAAGAATACAGTCATTAAGACGAAGAATGCCATCCAGCTAGATTATGGAACTCCAGGGGAAGGGAGAATGGGATGTTAGGTGCATTGTAAATTCCATACTACCCAGTAAAAGGGGAACTGGTGGAGGGGACTTTTCAAGACAGGGGAGTAAAAAGTATTTGCAGGCTGGCCATGTGGTGTGTCTGCCCTTGGCTACTGGGTTGGGCACCTGATTTTGTAAAATTGAATAAAGACGACCTCAATCTCACTAAAATGAGTAAAGATTGGATTTCTTAACCGTTTGTCAGTATCAACAACGTTTCTCACATGGTCACTACATTTACTCCAGAGAAACAAATCATGTGAGACCTGTCTGATGACAGTCTTAAATATATTCTCTGAGTCCAAGAAATAAATAAATAAAAATGAAGGTACATGTGGATGAACTCTCCCTAAAACCAGACTGTGGTATTGTTATGCAGTGCTGTCGAGTCAGTTCTGACTCATAGCAACCCTGTATATAGATTTCCGAGGAGCGACTGATGCATTTGAACCACTGACCTTGTGATTCAAATCGACCTTGAGGTTGAATGCTTATCCTATAGTGCCAAAGTGGACTATAGGCATCTTCTATTACAGAGAAGTAAAAGATGCAATGAGCCTTCAGAAGTCTGGGGGTTGACTTGGTTCCAGCGCTGCCTACAGTGGGCCTATGATCTTATCAGACCAGGCACAACCATCACCATTAAAAGGAAGGGTGCATTATGAAAGAGAGGACATGAGACACTCCTAATATTCTACAAGCATCCTCACACCAAATACCTACCAGCAAACTGTAGAAGAATTCATGAACAAGGAGCCCCATGGCACAGATCAGCAGATATAACAAGTGATAAAGGAACTCAACATCAAGGACCATGGCTCGGTAGCCTCTGGTAAACGTGCCACAGTTGCCCACGAAGCTCATCAGAAAGATGATTTTATTGCAGACCTGAGAATGACAACAGAATAAGTCAGACCACATGGATAATGCCCAACTTCAGCCTCTCAAAGAAACCTATTTCAGCAATCATGACAGCAAGTTACAAGGTACCCCAAATTTGGGGACCAAACAAAAGCTGGACAATGGAACAGCTTGCTTTTGCTCCATGTGCCCACCAAATCCCCTAAGACCCATTTTCCTTATCTACATCATTTCATTACTTTGCTTTTCAGGCATATCACAAATTACATGGTTGTCAAGTAACTTTATATTCAACAGTAATCAAACACCATTTGTACACAACAAAAACAAAATTAACACACACTGAGATTATGATTTTCAAAATGATATATGAATAGTTTCTAACATTCTTAGACGAGTTACTCAAACACAGAATTCACCTCAATCTACAAACCCTGTGATCAGCATGAATAGAAACGTTTTCTGAATTTCTGTTTCTACTCCATGTATTATAAAGCAGCAATTCAGTGACAAGTAGCCTGTTTGTATTGGTAGATGCTTTTTTTCACAGGGAAAATGAGATTTTGTGGAGGGGCGGGAATGAAATAGGACCTTCAGATGGGTACTGCCCCCTCTCCCTTCTTCTGGTAATGGTTTCTCATTTTTCTTTGGGAACCCATCAATTTCTGGTTTGGACATCAATCCTCGGGACTACATGGGGGCCAATCCTGGCCAATTAGAATACTGTATTCTCCTGGCTATATGGACGGCTGTATAGTTAGGCACATGACCAAATGGGACCGAAGCAAAATACAGTTTTTTCTTTGCCACAGATTTTGACCACAAGAGAATAAAAGCTTTCACTCTGTCGGCATTCATCGTTCATGCCTCAAACCCCAAAGCGTCACCAACACAGAAGACACAGGGACCTTAAGTGGACCTCGACCCTATTTGTCTAGTCCCCTGTATGCAGCTATGCCTGAAGCTGGGATTTTGACTTCTCAGTCACATGAACCAATACATTCTCTCCTCAGTTTAAGCTACAGTAGATAAGGTTTTCTGACACCTGCAACAGAGGAGTCCTACTTCATCTCCTGTGTAATGGATAGATGTGTAATGTTGATACATGCCTCATGCTTGAAAGTCCATCTCTAGCAACATGTGATAAAAAGCCCTGAATCAGGAGAAGGCTGAGGGAAAAGACCTTTGGAGGCACTTGGTAAAACTACCTTTTGCCACCCTAGCTGCCTTGGCTACAGGTGCTGGGGAAATTCTGCCAGTTAATCTGGTAGGTCAGTGTAAGTGAGCTTTTCAACAATCAGATAAATGAGAAAGCCAACACCTACAAAGAACTTCTGGCTTTCTTTGACAAGTTAAACATTCAGCACACCAGTTTCTTCAACCTTCTAATCTTTGCTAGTGTAGTTAGAGCTTTCAGAGGGTGGAAAAGTATTCTCTGGATGATTTGTGTTGATAGAGTTTCATTTGAAAACAACAACAACAACAACAAAGACAATGCTCTGTGGCACCTCAGGACCTCAAGCATGTTCAGATATCTATTGTTTTAAAACAGAGCATTCCACTGCAATGACATCCAGTCTTTCCTGGAACTACTGCCTGAGTTTTCTGAATGGTGGTATCATCAGCAAATATCTCCTATGCCTAACGTGAACCGGATGTCTTCACATCCTACTGACTACACATCTTACTGTCTTACATCTGGCTTCCAGCCACACCTCTCAACTAGAAAATGCCTTTGGAAAGCTCTTGAGGCTTCTGCAGTGATAAACCCAGAAGTCACTCCCTCTCTGTTTTTACCATGAAATCCCCGCTTATCTGCAGAAAAACATGGCTAAACAACCCATCCTCCTTCCCATCCTCCCAGCCTGTGACTGTTCATGATACTAGAGTCCACCCTGTCCTGCTTCCCAAGCTCTCACTGCTTCCTCTGTCTCTATCTACAGTGACTCTTTCTTTTCTATTATGGTCTAGGTGAGGGTATCCTCTCTCTCTCTCTCTCTCTTTTTTTAATTCCCTCCAAATCATTATTAAAGCTGTTTCACCTTTGCCATTTCTCCCCAACTAATGTTATAAGTGGCAATTAGCCATCTGAGTCTACCCCTGCTCCCCAAACGATCTATGTTAAAAGAAGTGATGACTCTGGAATGATTTAAGGCCAAAGACATGAAAGAATCACAAGTCATAGAAGAACACTCCAGGAGTATTGACAATCTTTTCATTTCTTTGTTTTGCATTTCCCTCTTAAACAGTGTCCCTTCCCTGAAAGTGAAACCTACAGGCCCTTCCTGACATCTCTTGAGTGCTCTGGTCATGCACTTCCAAAGGCCAGAGTGAACATTAACAAGCTCACTATGTCATTGATTTAAATGAATTTTAGCCCTGAAAACTTCACATTAGATGACTGCATTCTTCTCCGAGTCATCCATGACCAAAATTACCCAAACTGCAATAGCTTCTTTGTTGAAGAAAACGGCCTTAAACAACTCCCTACATTTTTGTCAGACTTAAGATAATAACCCCCACCTGCCATATATGGCTGTTCCCTTCATTCGTCTACACTATGACCAAGGCTCATGCTCACCACACCGAAATGAAGTCAACCACTGTTTTGTTAAGCGGTTCTGACTCATAGTGACCCTATATAGCGTTTCTGAGAAGCAGATGGTGGGTTTGAACTGCTGACCTTGTGGTTACCAGTTCAGTGTTTATCCTACAGCACCACACAAGGACTGAAATCCACTACTAGGGCTCCATAAATGGACTCCTTTATCCCCACTGTTATCTACAAGACATGTCAGTAGTGAAAGAAAGAATTTTCTCAAGAATAATTCTTTGTATATAGCATGTCTTTGTTCAAAAGACTTGTCACTTTCCACTACTGGGAACAGTTTCTTAACATATCCATACAACAATAATCCCAAGAGAGACTTAAGATTAAAAAAAGTGGGTCAAATAAATTTGGGAGACACAAATATACTGTTTCCGTTTCTTGGAGAGTCAAACTGCTTATTAGCAGAGTAAAATCTCTGAGAAGTCCTGCAGTAAAAAACCTAATGTTACTGAACCCACTATATCCCAAACTGATTGGACCACAAAACCCTTTCTCCACCCAACACTTACTAGTTTGGACATGCTGATCTGGAGGATCAAGTCCAATTGTTTCAGCCTGAAATTGTACAGGATCAGGACCCACCATAAATAACAAGGCTGCATAAACCACAACTGAGTTGACACTCAACTCTGTATTGGTTCTTGACAACATCCTGGGCTCCCCACTGCTCTGCTCTGGCCTATAGAAGCCACAGGAAAAGGCTCAATCCCTACTTCCTGACATAACAGGTCGCATCCTCCCTGAGCTTGTCAGCTTGAAGTAGTCTCTCCTCCTCTGAAGCCCTTGTTGCCTTGCTATTTGAATACCCATACCAGGAATTATTATTCACCTCATTTTGCAATATCATTCCCATTTTTGTACAATGACTTCACCTTCCTTCTATGTTCAGGGTAGAAACCACTGGAAGACATTTTTAGATTCTGAAAATGCCTTACATGTTTAAATTTTCTTCTTCCTGTCACCAGGAAATCTCTCCAGTTTGTGGTCTCCTATCAGCTGCCTCCATTTCATTAGACTCCTCCTGTACATGTAGTAGGAGTACTGGTGTAGCACTGTGGGCTAATGCGCTGGACTGCAAGGTCAGTTTGAACCACAAGGTCGGCAGTTCAAGCTTACCAGCCACTCTTTGGAAACCCTATGCAGGGTCGCTGTGAGTCAGAACAAACTCCACAGCACTTAACAACAATACATGCAGTGGACGTCTAACCCTCACGTCTTTTGAGAAAGTGTTTCCAAGCATCACCACTACTTGTTCTCCTCTAACGTGTTCTGAGCCACCCTTTACCCCTCCTATAGGGTTCTCTTCAGAAGTGAGTACTAAGCTAATATTTGATGACTGGACTTATTGATTAAAATCTCCTGTCCCAACAAAGATTTGAACAGATTGGTAAAACAGATCTAAGGCTCAACTGCAAGAAACTCCCTAAACATTAGATTTTCAATGTCCAAATAATGCATTAAGAGGTTCACAGTACCATGAGAAGCTCCCTCTCACTCCTGCTATTCTACAAGTTGGCCCAAACAACATTTTTCTGCATGGAAAGCGCAAGTCAAGATTCTAGAGACCATGAAGGCAGCTGTTCCTCTTGGCGTAACAACAAAAAAGTGGCTGTAAAGATAGTCATACTTACATTGAAAGCTCCCAGGAGAAACAACGTGGGTTGTAACCCCACTGAAAAGATCAACCGGAGGATTGTGGATGCGATTAATGCCCGGATGCCGTGAGGCTTGGGGAGGGCAATGACAATGGCCAAGGAGATAAGCATGCCTGTCCACAGCAGGCCAGACAAATGCGGCTCCAGAGTCCCTGCAAAGACAAGGTGGGTCCCTCAGAGATCAGTGTTTTCACTCACGAGGAATGACAAACCCCAACAGATTTCACTGCACCTGCTTCAATCACCTGGCCAGCCTCTCTGTCATATCTCTCATCTCTACTTCTCTGGACCACACAGAGAACTGGATAAAGAAAATTGTACTCTGTCCAGGCAGCCCTAAAGAGAAATGTATACTACGACATGAAAATATTAGCTTGTGTGCACTACATCAGGCACAAAAGGACAAATCATGTATGAGTCCTACTTACATGAAATACTAAATGACCAGGTAAATGCATAGAGATCAAAGTTCATTTATGGTTCTCAGGAGCTAGTGACGGGGAGACGGAGAGAAAGACACCATTTAAGAAACACTGAACTTCTGTTGAGAATGATGGAAAACCTGTTAAGGGTGATGGTTGAACAATAGCAAGAACATAGTTAATGACACACATGAAGACTGTTACAGTGGTCAATGTTTCATTCCCTATATATCTACTACAATAATATTATTCAAACTCTCCACTCCAGTCATCACTAGTCATCCGTATTTTGTGCTTCCCGACAGGTCTTCTGCTTGGGAAATTCGACTCCCCTTCCCTATTCATCTCAGATCTCAGCTTAGTTATTACCTCTCCGGGGAAGTGTGCTCAGTTCTCTTCTTCCTCACAGTCACACACCAGATACTCGCTCCTCTCTGTTCCTTGCCCCCTCTGGTTATCCCATATTGTTGTTAGCTGCCGTCAAGTCGGCCCAGACTCATGTGACCCCGTGCACAGTGGGACAGTACCGTTGTGATCCACGGGGCTTTTGTTGACTGACTTTTCTAGAGCAGATCACCATGCCTTTCTATCTGGTGCACATGGGTTCTGGCTATGTACAAACTACACTGGCCAGGAATGAAACCTGAGTCTCCAAATGAAGGTCAGAATTCTACCACTGAACAACCTCAATTCTCGAAAATCTCTACAGCATACTGTATTCTAGTGGTCAGTTTACTTGTCTTTGCTGCCCTAGTCTCCAAGTTCTTTGAGGATACTTTGCACTAGAAAGTGCGGTGCCATACGATAAGCATCCAACCTCAACATGAGTGGTACAAACTCACCAGCCACTCCTCAGAAACCCTATACAGGGTTGCTGTAAGTTGGAACCAACTTGATGACATTTAATAACAACAGACACTCACCAATGGAGTCCTGGTGTGGTACTCTGTAGGATAAGAACTGGAGTGCTAAACATAACGTTGGTGGTTCAAACTCATCAGCCGCGACTCAGAAACCCTGTACAATGTTGTTATGAATTGGAATGAACTTGATGGTACTTAACAACAACAACAACAACAGGCACACACCAAAGGCTTGTGCAAGTAATAAAACTCAGACATGTGTTATATTTTGCTCTTAGGGAAGGCAAACTAGAGGCCTGAATTTCAAAATTTTAATTAAAAGTACACAGAGCAAAATTGCAGGGGGACCCCTGCCTGAATCAGATTTCTTCACGAGAAGGAGGAAGGCAACTTCCATATCATTAGCATCATCCCACAATTAGATTATCCTTGTAGTCAAAGAGTTTATACCAGTGTTTGTCATCTCGTGCTATTGCAAGTTCTATTTAGGGTGTCCCACGAGACGGCTTGGTTATATAACATGAGCCAACATGGCTAAAAATACAGTTCTGTAAAACACTCATTAAAAAAAAACAACCACACTCCTATTTCCAATGCTGTCACATTTTGAGTCTCCTTCAGATGTAAACAAGCGGCACTATGTGATTAAGGCCACTTATATAAAGGGACTTGCACTGCTTCAGAACTACTGGGATTACAGTACCATCCAGGAAAGAGACAAAAAAGGAAGTTTTCAGAACCTTACAGGTTACAGCCCTTCCACAAATTTGCTGGCTGCCCCAGTTTATTCAGTCCATACCTGCCAAGATTCAGTTTCTCTCTAAAAACTGTTCCCCACACCCCAACCACTTACCTTTTCCTTTCTGATATCCCTCAAGAAGAAAATCTGCTTATAAATGGTCCCCAGGAAGTAGAAACTTTCCAGAGTTTCCAGAAAAAGTGCATTGAACAATGGTTAGATCTTGAATGAAGCCTGTGACACTGATTATCATTTATTCTGCCCTCTTGGTCACCCCATAGGTCACTAGTATTAGTTCTGTTTCACTCTAGAGGAAACTGAGTCTCAGGATACATAACATGGCCAAGGTGGCCTGGCTAACGGCCTGAGTTCTCTGACTCTGAAGCCCAGGTCTTTAACCACTATTAACATATATGCTTGCTTGCTAAGTGCCACTGAGTTGGGATCTGACTCATAGCGATCCTGGACAGGGTTTCCAAGGAGCAGCTGGTGAGGTGGAACTGCCGGCCTTAACGGCCCAAACTGACGTTGCAGTTTACCGCATTAACCGGCAATGCCACACCACAAGTCGATACACACACACACACACACACACACACACACACACACACATATACATATACAAAAATCCCTTAAGCTTTATTGAGGTTAATTTAAAGACAATAAAATTCATCCTAAGTGAAAATGTGAAGAAATGTTGGCAGGTTAGACCACCACAATCAAGATACAGAATATTTAAATAGTCTAAAGAGTTTCCATAGGCCTATTTATAGGTGATCTGCTTATCCATCCTTAGCCCCAGGTAATCACTGATTTGCTTTCTGTCACTACAGTTTTGGCATTTTCTAGAATTTAAAATGGGGGGGAAAAGAACCATACAATATGTAGTTTTTTTGTGTTTGACTTCTTTCATTTAGCAGGTTTTTGAGAGTCATCTAAATTATGGCATGCACCAATCTTTTGTTCTTTTTACTGCTGACTATTTCATAGTAGGGATGTAGTACAAATTGTCTGTTCGACAGTGATGGATAACTGGGTAACTTCTAGTTTGAAGTCATTATAAATACAATACTACAAAGAATACCAAGTACAAATCTTGGTGCGGATATATATGTGTGGTTTTTAGTTTTTGTTTTTGTTTTTTTGACAAATGCCTGGTAGAATGTTGGGTCCTAAATATATATAAACTTTATGAGGTACTGTCATACTATTGTCTAAAATGATTATACCATTATGCCTTCCAGCAGCTGTATATGAGAATTCATGTTGCGCTACATTCTCACAATTACTTGATATTGTCAGTCTTTTTAACTTTAGCCACTAGGAGTCCTGGTGTGGCGCTGCGGGTTGATGTGCTGGACTGCAAAGTTGATTTGAACTGCCAGGTTGGCAGTTCAAGCTCACCAACCACTCCTTGGAAACCCTATACAGGGTCTCCTTGAGTTGGAACTGACTCTACAGCATTTAACATCAAGTTGGCTTGTAGTGACCTACCTAATTTACACTTCCCTGGCAACTAATGATGCTGAGCATCTTTTCATACTCTTATGCTTATTGCCAACTGAATTTTTTCTTTGTAAAATGTCTGCTCAAATATTTCGCCCACTGTTTCAATTGGGTGTCTCATTATGACTGAGTTATAAGAGTTCTGTATAATCTGGATACAAGCCTTTTGTCAGAGATGTGGTTTTCTACTATTTTATTACAGTTTATGGTTTGCTTTTTATTCTTTTAACAGCTTAATCGTCATTTTAAACCTCATCTTATCCAAATCCTAAAGACGTCAATTAAAAACCTGCTGTATTCCCATTATAAAAGAAGTGTTAAAAAAAATAGTGCTAGCCTATCAAAACAAACAAGCAAGCAAGCAAGGAAATAGTTCCAAACAGACATCTCTGAGGTAATTGGAGAAATCTGAATATAAACAAGGTTTTAGAAGATTCACTGTTAGTCTTATTAGATTCAATAATGGCATGGAGATTACACATATTTTAAAATATACTTACAAGTTACAAATAAACACTGAAATCTGTATAGGGAAACCAGTAAGAGGTCTAGATTTATTGAAAATATTTCAGAAATGATTGGCAATATATTGATAAATGTTAAAGTTGGGTCAATGGGTACATGACAATTCACTATACTGTTCTTTCTACTTGTGTGAATATTAGAAATTTTCAATAATAATTTAAAAAAGAAGTACTGTATTTGCTTTAATCATCATAGCAAGTTCACAATTCAGTAAGGAATCTGGAGCTGCCTAAGTTTCATGCTTTTGAAAAACTGTAAGACTCATTGGTTTTTAAATAAGCGGGGGAAATGAGCTTTTAAGGCCACCAGTGTTCGAACAGTCCTAAGGCTTGTAAGTCACAGAGTCACATCAGTACACACAATAAAGTCACACATCCAAGGTGGATTTTCTAAGTCCTGTTTTCAAGATTCGACAGAACAAATGCCTCCAAGAAATAGTTTCAGGTAACTAACTAGATCTTGTTTCTAGGTAGGGCTAATGCAACCCTCCTGGTTGGCAGTGTGTGTAGGAAATGCTCCAACATATCTTGAAAAATAAATAAAAAGTCCCATTGAGAGTGAACTGATGTGTTTGAAGCAATCCCAGTTGCTGTATAATTTAAAAGTCTTCCATTGTTCAGATTGACCTCCCTTCCTGCTTTAAAAGATGTAATTCTGATTTCTGATTTAATTCATCAATCTAACATTCTTAACCCAATACTTCCAAAGCAGGAAGCCTTAACTCCTACATATTTGCCAGAATTGATGCCAGATTCAGAACATGACATTTTTGAGTGGGAAGGATCCTTAACAATCATTTATTTTATCCAATGGGTCTCAAACTTCGATGGGCAAGAAACAAATGTCTGAGAGATTCTAACTAAGTTGGCAACTAATCTTCCCTGAATCCTGTGAGAATCCTAATTCCACACCAAAGTTTCCCAATCATTGGCTTGTTCTGAGCGCCTCTCATTACAGAGGATAACAAGGACTTCATGTAGTGGCACTACAGCAAGGCAGTGGTCAAGCCAGGTCAAGACAGCAAGTCTCTAAGTTCCTTCGGTATTTCATTGCATGTGGCTTTATCACTGAAGGGTAAGGATCTGCCAACTCACTGTCTGGACTGTAGCCAAACAGTTGTCCCCAGTGATCAGTGAAGAAAGTGGTCAAGTGAATAATGTAAACTGCTTTTGAATATTTTTAAAGAAATGGAGAGCAAATGAAGCCACATTCAAAGTAATGGCTGAAAAATCTACTCTTAGTCTCTGGGATCTTGAAAGCTCACTAGCGGAGGTCTAAGATTCAGCAGCTGGTCTCTCCATGAATGGAAGAAATGAGAGTGATAAGAATTGAAAAGGCTTGGAATCAATTAATCCAATGGACTAATAGAACATATGAACAACAGTCTCCAAGACTGTGAGACCAGAGAACTATTGAGCTCTGGTAGCGTAGTGGTTACGAATCGGGCTGCAAACCGCAAGGTTAGCAGCTCGAAACTACCAGTGGCTCCATGGGAGAAAGATGAGGCTTTCTGCTCCCGTAAAGATTTACAGCCTCGGAAACCCTGTACAGGGTCGCTATGGGCCGGAACTGACTCGATGGCACTTAACAACAACAACCACTACCAACTGCTCTGAAAGGTATCACATTATAGCGTCCTAGATAGAGTATGGAACCTCAAAAATTATTTAATAGAGAATAAATAAAAAAGACCAGGTTTACTGGTCAGAAAGAGACTATGGCCCTCGACCACGCTTCGGGTCTGCAAATGAACTCACCCTTGTGGCCCAGTTTTCAGCCAAGCTGCAGATAGGTATGTAGAGGGACAACAACACTAGCAAGGTATGCTCACCATGGAATGGTCAATCATTCAAAATCAAAAGAGCAGCATTTTCCTAAGGATAAAGTTGAGAAGGGATAGGAAGGTGGGTGGAATGCAAATAGGAACTGCAGGGAGGAGGTGGGATAACTGTTGATGTATGGAGGGGATTGTAGTCATTGAGACGAAACCAAGTGTTGAATGTAAAACTGATGATCTTGTTTGTAAACCTTCACTCAATTCATAACAAAAACTAACCAAAAAAGATTCTACTCTGATAAGTATAGCAACATCTCCGAGGAAGAAGGAGACGTGGACACCTGTCACATCCCACTGAGCTCTTGGCTGCCCATTCCACACTCTTTGCCACTACTAGCTGGCAGCCGGGGTTAAGTCAGACTCTCCTTCAGAGAAAATCCTGCAGTCCTGTGTCCTTGCCAAGTCTTTTCAGAAAAGATAATCCACTTGGGGGCTTATGTTTAGGGAGTACTTGTTGAGGAAAAACATGCAACTAAGTTGTCTCTGTAACTTAAGTCTAAAAAACAAAAACTCTCTAACTCCTCATAACTGCATAATACCAAATGAAACCTGTTACCATTGAGTCAAATCTGATACAACTGTCACAGAGTGGAAATCTCCACAGGGCTGTGATATCTATGGAAGCAGATCACAGGCTTTCCTTTTGCGGTGCCGCTAGGTGTGCTCGAACTGTCAACCATTAGGAATTATTTGTGTTACCCAGGGCCTCAGTTAGGTGTACCCGTGTAATTGATGACGGCTTCACTTTCAGTCTTTTGTGAATGGATGTTCATTACATATACATGTGCTGCTTAAGTCATGAAGGGATGAGCATCAAACTTACTCCTGGACTCTCTGTGTCTTATTTTGGGCCTCTTTCTCCCATTATATCTCACACAAGATGGCACCTAGAAGATATACATATAGTCACTCAAGGTGATCTGCTAAAAATTTCTGGTGAAATCTTTAGCTGAAAAGTAAACCTCTAGAAGGTTGTCGTGGATCTCAGAAAAGGGGCTTTGAATGTACAAAAAGTGTGTGGAAAATGGAATTAAAATATAAAGAGATTTCTCCCATGAGCTTTTTGGAGCGTTTTTGTATAACAGAAGAGCAGAGGAGTTTTCAGTGTCTGCCGCTAGAAATCTAAGAATGGGAACGCCGTTAGGATGTCATCAAGCAAATCAAGGCCTCTCCCCACCCCCACCCTCCACAAAACATCCCTCTTGAATTGTTTGCCTTTTCTCACAAGCTGTATACACAGCTGAGTAAGAGAGGTGGCGATTTTTCAGTGGTTATGGCCACTGAGTCGGTTCCAATTCATAGCAACTCTGTATAGGGTTTCTTTATGGGAGCAGAAAACCTCATCTTTCTTCCACAGACTAACTGGTAAATTTGAACTGTTGACCTTGCGGTTAGCAACCCAGCTTGTAATCCACTATGCTATAAGGGCTCCACAGAAGGAGAGGAGGAGCAAGGGTACCCATAAAGAGTACGGATGTGCTGTTTTATAAGTGAGCAATGGCCTACAGTTCCCAACTGACTACATATGTGACACCCATGGTCGGCAGTCATTCCAAGTCTGCCTTGCCCCATCCTTCACAAAGGAAACATTCCCAAAGATTTCTCACAAATTCTTCAGTCTAAAATCAATGACAAATATGGTGCAGAGAAACCACCTACTGGATTGAATATCAAAATAGTCACATTCTAAGGTTAGCTCTACTCTCAAACTGACCAAGTAGGGCACAGTTTCTTTCTTTGGTAATAAGTAAACATGGACATACAATGTATATTAATTTTGTTAAATGTGAAACTAACTTAAAGCTTATATTGTGCCTGAAAATGAGTTATTTAGATTGTAAATACTATACTAATAATGAACACGGGTTACTGTTCTTTCTACCTGTTTGCTTCTAATCAAACAGAACAAAATGCTATGGAGTTCATTCTGATTCATGGTGAGCCTGTGTGTGTCAGTGTAGACCTGTGCTCCACAGGGTTTTCAATGGCCGATTTTTCAGAACACACCAGGCCTTTTTTCTGATGTGCTTTTGGGTGTGTTCAAACTGTCATCCTTTCAGTTAGCAGTGAAGTGCTTAACTGTATGCACCACCCAGGAACTCCACTGTTTCTAACAGTTCACTGGAAATTAGAGATATGGGTACCTCCTCGGACTCCTTTAAATGGGTAGAAAAACGCCACCAGCAAATTCATCAACACAGCCAGGTTGAAGGAGATGCTGCTCCAAACGGACATGTTGCGGGCACACCAATACAGAACCGGCTGCGCTGTGAACACAAAGATGAAACACGTCAGGTCTGACACCGCCAGGCAGAACGTCAGGTGCTCAATACCACCTTTCCGTCCACCGCTCTTCCCCCACAAGTCCACTCTTATTTCCAGTTTTTAACCACAACAGTCAAAATGATCACCTGTTTTCAAGTTGACTCATAGGGTCACAATGACAACACACTGGTTATTTCTGTTTGGAACACAGGAGGCATTGGGGGAGCAAACAAGAAGAGGAGGAGAAAAGTCGGCACATCTAAATACCCCAAATGCCCTAGTCAACACTATCAGGAAATGGAATCTGGGGGTTACCCAGGGCTTACCCATTGAGACCTTAGTTCCCCTTTGAGCTCCTGAATCAGATGAGCTGCCCAGAGAGATCCAACAACAATTAGCATTCTACAAGTGTGGGGACAGCGGGAGTGGGATGACTGAGTAGCCAGAGTTGAACCAGCTGGGCCGCAGACCACATCCACATTCTTCCCTTATCCAAAGTCTCCACTGATTTGCTAGGGCCTAAAGGTAAGACAATCATTCCCTTCCTGACCGTGAGTCACTTGCCAAATCGCTGAAGTGTAATGGGCACTCTTGGGGTGCAAGGAGCTAGGAGCGAGAGTTGCTGACTGGGTGGTCAGTCACAGAAGCCTCAATTCTGGAGACAGGACTCAGTGCTGAAGCCATCATAAAGGGGCAAGAGGCACTTTTGAATAGTACTGCCACTTGTGCTGTTACCATGAGGGTACCCCATTGGCTGGGCACTCTCTGTCTTAGAACAAACAGCCCATGGCCACACTCGTGTATGCAGTGGTACTTCCATGTCCCCTAGGCTCTTTATTGATGGCGTCTGACACATAGGATGATGTTCAAAATCAGTCTCTGTGCCAAAGGCAAAGTTTCGCAAAGTTTTTCCTCCAAAACTTGGGAGTACATGAGGCTGGATCGCTACCATGCGTTCCCAATAAAGTCATCATTTAACTTCAGGAAAGCAGCCGACAACAAATTCAATGGCTCTATAATGAAGTCGATAGCTACAAGCAAGCTTCCTTCCAAAAATGAAGTTGCAATACAATGAAACAGAGCCCTAGGTAATTTAATAATTGTTGGTTTCATGTTTGCACTTAGTAATCGGCAATGTTCCTAAACCATACAGCCTTAGAGTGATGAACACTCATTTAGTTCAAAATCACTCATTTTAGAAATGAGGGAAACTGAAACACAGTTCAAGGCAGAGGGAGATATTATAATCCAGGTCAGTAATTCCTGGGTAAACTGGGTCAGTTACCTGGGTCAACAACAGCGATAAAGATAAATGTTCATTTCGCCACTCAATAAAGTAACTGACCAGTATTCAATCAATCTTCACTGAACAGGTTACTGTTTTGTGAGTTCACTGCTGCATTCAATTTAATAGGATAAATCTTCTGTTCTAGAAACAACAGCTATTGGTATTGCTTCTGGGATTCAAAGCACATTATCTGATCTAGATAGAAAAATTCCAAAGGCGGACAGAAGAAGGAGATGAGAAGAAACTCAATGCTGATGACAGTTGAAACTGAGTGATGGAGACATGAGAAGCCCCTCAGGCCCCCCTTTCTGCAGGGTTTTGCTGTGCTCAGATGCCAGGCTGTCTGTTGGCTACAACTCAAGACAACTCAAGAACTGCTTCTTAGGGTTTTCTTGGCTGTCACCTAAACAGAAGCAAATTACCAGTCCTTTCTTCTACAGAATTGCTGGGTGGATTCCAACGGCCAACTTGTAAATTAGCAACTGAGCACAAACTGTACCACTTAGGGACCTTCGCCTCTACATAGATGGTAGTGTTCAATGCCGTCAAGTCAGTCCCGAGGCTGAACATTTTTATGGGAGCAGAAAGCCTCACCTTTCTCCCCCCGAGAGGCTGGTGGATTTGAACTGCTGACCTGGTGGCTAGCAGTCCAGTGCGTATCCTACAGTATCACAGCACTCCTACATTAGCTCTTCTCCACATTGTTGTTTTTGTTAAGTGTTGTTGAGTCAGTTCAGACTCACAATGACAGTGTATAGGGTTTCCAAGGAGCAGCTGGTGGGTTTGAACTGCAGACCTTGTGGTTAGCAGCCCAGCATCACACCAGCACTCTCCTTTCCACATTAGTGAATGTACATAAAGCTCACAAGTTTCTAGTTTTTTACTTTTTAAAGAAAAGGTAAAGTTCAGTGAGGGACTGTATAAAGCCAGCACTATCTTCAGAAGGAGCTTTTAGCAAACATTACGTATACCATTCATTGTAGGACATACGTCAATGCAATTGTAATAAATTGTCTTCTGAATCACAGCACAGACTTTGCAAAGAAATCTGAATTTTATAAGGCTAGCATTCCACTTAAATTGATGTATCCTTTTGAATCTGAACAGTCTTCCAAATGAACCTAGAATTCACTGAGGGGGAAGGAGATGCTTGGAGAACAACTCAGATGGTACAACGTCTTTGTTTCCTTTGTATGTGGTGCCATGGTCCCCATCTACCACCTTTCCACACTCTTTCCCACTTGCTTTCCCCCTTCACACTGCCTCTCCTTACCGCCCCCCCCCCCACTCCAATCTGGTCGAAGCTCCTGGAATACACCTAGCACTCTGCAGCTCAAACACTCCACTGGAAGTCAGAAAAAATAACCCACAAATTATTTGATATTCCTCCCTTGAATAGATGGAGCTTAACGAGATGGTACCTACAAACAACCCATCCCCGATGAGTGTGGCTGGACTTAGGAATTTGCTTCATATGACAGAATATGGAAGAAGTAACAGTATGCGACTTCCAAGACCAGGTCAGTAAAGGCATTGAGGTATCCTTCTTCCTGATTTTGAAGGTGAAAGAACGGATCAAGATTCAAGGAATCCAGGTGGACTCTAGAATTTGGAAAAAGCAAAGAAACATTCTCCCCTAGAGCCTCTAGAAGAACACAGACCTGCCTTCTCCTTGATTTTAACCCAGTGAAAACCACTGCAGAATTCTGGTCTTCAGAACTGTTAACATGACAAATGTATGTTGTTTTAAGCAGCCGACTTTGTGGATAACTTCTTCAAGCACCAATAAGAAACTGATTACCCATCCTTCTCCAAGTTCTCCAACTTCTCGGACTTGCATTTGTCCAAGTCCTACTTATCTTTCTAGCCACTGTTCAAATCCTCCCTTTCCTAGGAGGCCTCCCTTTTCAATGTTTCCACAATTGCGTATTCTTGCTCAATTACAGCCCTGGTGATAATCTGCTATGCCTTACAGTCATTAAAAAAGATGCCTTCATCCTGTGGTAAGTTGCTGCAGGAAGGAATCTTAGCTTACACATTATTGTATCTTGTAGCAAACTTTCTATTTAAACAACCAGTAGCTGCTGACTTGAATCTGACTCACGGCAACCCCATGTGTATCAGAGTAGAACTGAGCTCCACAGGGTTTTCACTCACAGATCTTTTGAAAGTGGATTACTAAGTCTTCTTCTGAGATGCCTTTAGGTAGACTCGAACCACAAAGGGCTAAAAGTTGGTTGGCTCTATTGATGTTTCTACATTATGGCCAAAACACAGAGTTCACAATCCTAGAGAGTCAAAGTAATTAAATAACTTCAACCCAGGGTATCTATTGGTAATGTTCTTTCCTAGTCTGGTGTGTTTCTAAAATGAATTAGACCTTGCCTGATAACTTGGACTCCCTGTGTGTATACAGAGATTGCAAGAGAATTTTCAAGCTCCATTTTAGCAAGCATGGTAATCATGAGAGGAAACCCCAAGAAAGAGACCAGCATATGCAACTCTGCTTCAATGTTCTCTTGTCACCATGAGGGACATGTCCCTGGAGAAGGACATCATGCTTGGTAAAGCATCAAGGAGGAATCCTCCTGATGAGACGGATTCACAGTGGTCTTAACTATGGATGCAAACGTCAACAATTGTGAGACTGGTCTAGGACCAGGTAGTGTTTCATTGAGCTGTGGTTACGTTGGAATCAACTTGATGGTACCTACAAACAACCCATTTCCCCAGCCCTGAGCTTTCGCTTCACGGTGGCAGGGAGCTCGAGGAAAATATGTCAAGCGGGGTCAGAGAGCTGATGTGAAGGCAGAGGAGAGGGTGAGGCATGTGCCTATGTGTGTACAGACCTGTGTGTGTGTGTGTGTGTGTGTGTGTGTGGTATATGTGTATAAATGTGTGGATACATATGGGAGTATGTGTGTACATACCTGTGTGTGTGGATGTGTATACGTACCTGTGTCTGTGTGCGATCTATGTGTATACATTGGAGTATGTGTATACATACCTGTGTGTGCACATGTAGGGGTATTGTGTATATACCTATGTGTGTGTGCACATGTGTGTACATACGGGAGTACCGGGGGGGAGAGGGAGGATATGGATATGTGTGTGTATAAATAGGTAAAAATGTGTGTGGTTTGCATGCATGAGTGATGTGACCAGAACAGGAGGAAGGTCTTTGAGGAGGACAACTAGGTATGTTGGTACTTGCAGAAGAAAATGCTAAACCACTTCAGTCTCAGACAGAACGCACTTTATTCCCAAGTTATAGTTATAGGTTTATCTAAATTACCTAAACTGTGTAGGCTGTGCTTCTATGTGATACATTCAGGAAAAGTAAAGCAGCGACACAAATAAACCAGGAAAGTCTTCTCTGTAAACTTATTATTAGATAAATAAACTACTTAGAGAGAAAGACCCATTTTATTATAATTGCATTGCCAGTGAGTATACTTCTTCCCTTCAATATATGCAAATCATGTTTAATTGTTATTACTTTCCATTTCTCTCTTACCAGCAGATAGCTTTGAAGCCAATTAAATTCTTTTCAGTTGACAACTATAACTGTGTCGAAGTTTCACATGAAACAAAACTGCTTTAAAAAAAAAAAAAA